CCATCACCCCTCCCCATCCTTCCCCCCTCCCTCATCCTTACCCCTCCTCATCCTTACCCCCTCCTCATCCTTCCCCTCCCTCATCCTTGCCCCCCTCCCTCATCCCTTACCCCCTCCCCTCATCCTTACCCCTCCCTCATCCTTACCCCTCCCTCATCCTTACCCCCTCCCTCATCATACCCCTCCCTCATCCTTACCCCCCCTCCCTCATCCTTACCCCCTCCCTCATCCTTACCCCCCTCCCTCTCCTTACCCCTCCCCTCATCCTTACCCCTCCCACATCCTTACCCCTCCCTCATCCTTACCCCCCTCCCTCATCCTTACCCCTCCCTCATCCTTACCCCTCCCTCATCCTCCCCCTCCCTCATCTATACCCCTCCCTCATCCTTACCCCCCTCCCTCATCCTTACCCCTCCCCTCATCCTTACCCCCCTCCCTCATCCTCCCACCCCCTCCCCATCCTTACCCCTCCTCATCCTTACCCCTCCTCATCCTTACCCACCCTCCTCATCCTTACCCCTCCCTCATCCTTACCCCTCCCTCATCCTTACCCCTCCCCATCCTTACCCCCTCCCCCCATCCTTACCCCCCTCCCCATCCTTACCCCCCTCCCCATCCTTACCCCTCCCCCATCATACCCCTCCCCATCCTTACCCCCTCCCCATCCTTACCCCCTCTCTATTATCCTTCCACCCCTCCCCCATCCTTACCCACCCCTCCCCCATCCTTACCCCCTCCCTCATCTTACCCCCCTCTATTATCCTTACCCCCTCCCCTATTATCCTTACCCCCTCCCATCCTCCCCCTCCCCATCCTTACCCCTCCCCATCATACCCCCTCCCTCATCCTTACCCCCTCCCTCATCCTTACCCCTCCTCATCCTTACCCCTCCCTCATCCTTACCCCCTCCCTCATCACCCCCCTCCCCTCATCCCCACCCCCTCCCTGTCCTTACCCCCTCCCTCCCACATCCCCACCCACCCCCCCCTCCCTCATCCTTACCCCTCCCTCATCCCTTACCCCCCTCCCCTCATCCTTACCCCTCCCTCATCTTACCCCTCTCATCACACCACCATCCTTACCCCTCCCTCATCCTTACCCCTCCCTCATCCTTACCCCTCCCTCCATCCTTACCCCCTCCCTCGTCCTTCCCCTCCTCATCCTTACCCCCGTCCCTCATCCTTACCCCTCCTGTCCTCCACATCCTTACCCCTCCCGCATCCCTTACCCCCTCCCATCCTTACCCCTCCCGCATCTGCCTCCGCATCCTTACCCCTCCATCCTTACCCCCTCCACATCCCTTACCCCTCCCGCATCCTTACCCCCTCCCTCACCTTAGTGTAATTCTATTAATCATCTCTTTTTAATTACTACAAGTTATTAATTTTTAGATACATATCATTAGTGACGAGGATACCTCTTCCCAAAGTGTGGTTCCTGTGTTGGGGAGGTGTTGAGGTGGTGTTGGGGAGGTGTTTAGGTGTCGGGGAGGTGCTTGGGAGGCTTTGAGATGATGGGGAGGTGTTAATTAAGGAAGTGTCGGGGAGGTGCTGGGGAGGTTTTAAGGAAGTGGTAGGAAGGTGTTGAGGAGTTGATGGGGAGGTGTTTAGAAGGTTTGGGGAGGTGTTGAGATGGTGTCAGGGTGATGATGGGGAGGTGTTGGGAAGGTATATGTCGGGGAGATGATGGGGAGGTGTTTAGAAGGTTTGGGGAGGTGTTGAGATGGTGTCAGGGTGATGATGGGAAGGTGTTGGGAAGGTATATGTCGGGGAGATGTTGGGGAGGTGTTGAGGTCGTGTCAGGGTGATGTTGGGGAGTGACGGATCCTTGGGGCGGTTCACGAAACTAACACCTCTCTTTACCGTCTCTAAGAGGAGTCATCATGTCCTGCCAATATCCGGACAATGCCTCCACCAGTTTCCTTCATATTTGTAACTCGAGAGCTTCAGTACGAGGCGGTTTTCTCTATTGTTTTCGGATAATGTTGTCATCAGTGTTTTACTTTCCGGGTAATATTGTTGTTAAAAGCTTTATCTGGATTTGCCGTAACTGTGAAATACACTTACACTGGTATGTACAATATATATTTTCTTTTCTCGCCTTGGATCACATGAAGATTGGCCACCAGCTTATTTTAGCTTGAAATTTACCACCTTACCTAACCTAACCTTAACCTAACCTAACGTAACCTTAACCTAACCTTAACCTAGTCTCTAAAAGCACAACGTCTTCACAGTCTTTCCCCGAATCATCCTTTATATTCAGTCTTGACTTTATCGACTCTCGCATGATAGATCACTCAAGTCGTCTTAAGATTTATTCATTTTTATTTATTTTTTATTTTTTTTACTGGTGAAGGATTTCTTGGAGTCACTTAGTTTGTGTTGAGAGAAGTGATGGTAATATGTAACGTTCAGGGAATATAGGGCAGTTGACCCCCCCCTCCCCTCCCCTACCCCTAAAACCCCGTGAAGGGAATTTAAGGACAGTCACCATCTCGGCCCCAACGCCTCGTCATCATCACACAGGAAGACCATAGACCAGATTTCATCAAGATATGCTCAGCTTCCTCGGTTGGCCAGGCTACTTTACGACGTGTTGTAGACGGACGGACGGACGGGTGGGTGGGTAAAGATATAAACCGAGGAGATTGGATGGACATATGGAAGATCAAATGGATTTATGGACGAGCGGAGAGATGGAAGGATTGGCGAACGTACAGAGAAACAGATGGATGGATGGATGGACGTACAGAGAAACAGATGGATGGATGGATGGACGTACAGAGAAACAGATGGATGGATGGATGGACGTACAGAGAAACAGATGGATGGATGGATGGATGGACGTGGACGTACAGAGAAACGGATGGATGGATGGATGGATGGACGTACAGAGAAACGGATGGATGGATGGATGAATGGATTGATGGAAGGAGGGATTCACGAACATACAGAGAAACAGGACCATGGATGGAAAAAGGAGCGGACAAGTGAAAGGACGGGCGGAGGGCGAGGGTTATCAGGAAGTGTGACTAGACAGCGTCTTGTGTGTGTGTGTCATGATATTGTTTACTTAGGCCTTCTCCTCCTCCTCCTCCAGATCAGAGCGAAAAGGATATTGTAAGAGGTGTGAGTGTGTGTGTGTTAAAACTAAAAGAAAAAAAATCGTCGCTCTTGTTCAAACTCTGTCTGTGACAAAGGTCTTGCTAATTAAACTTTGGTTGCAACGTGTTACAGTTAGGTCAAGGTCAGAGCGTTAGGGGAAGTAAGTGTGTGTGTGTGTGTGTGTGTGTGTGTGTGTGTGTGTGAACACCCACATGGGTTTTTTGGTGTTTGTTTAGTTTGTAATTTGCAGGGTTATTAATCAAAATAATTGGCCATGTTAGAGGAGCCTTCTGCACCCCTAATATATACAGCCCCTAATTGGGCGTTACGTAGGCTAATGGTGAATGGTAATGATTGTTGTTGTTGTTGTCACGACCCAAACTTGTAATTGGCTGACATGATACTCCAGAACCTGTTGTTTCGGTGTGTGTGTGTGTGTGTGTGTGTGTTCCATCCTTCGTGTAAACGCGGTAACTCAGGAACGGGTGGAGAGATTTTCTTCAAACTTCGATCTTCAAAGGAGCTTAGATGAGATTACACACGACCCGATTAGTTTAGCCTTCTGTAGTTAGGGGGATTGAAGAAGTTCGGGAGTTTATGGCCTGTCCGACTGTTTTACTTCACGCACACACATATACATACATAAATACATACATACATACACACACGAGGTCTTAGTATAGAGACTGTGAGGTAAAGATGGGGTATGGGGAGGAAGGGAGAATGAAGTGAGGGAAGAAAAAAGGAAGGGAGAATGAAGGGATAGATGGAAAGAGAAGAAAATGAGGATGAAGTATAAAGATGGAAAAAAAGAGAGATTGGGAGAGACTAAGAGAAAGACGGAGAACGAAGGAGAGATGGGGTGTGAGAAGAGAGATGAGAGATGGGGTGGAGAGAGATGTAGGTGTGTGTGAGAGAGAGGAGATATTAAGGTGTAAGGGAGATAGAAGGAGAGATGAAGTGTTAGGGAAAGACAACCAACATTGTAACTAGATAGTAATAAGTATTCACCCTCCCCCCTTGGCCCGCCCCTGCCCTCCCCCGCCCCTGCCCTCCCCCGCCCCTGCCCTCCCCCGCCCGGCCCGCCCCTGCCCTCCCCCGCCCGTCCCGGCCCTCCCCAAAATTTTCCTTCGCTTAGGCTGATGGTATACGTTGCCTATATGACATTACCTAACTATTGATGATCTTAAGGCTACACTTTTTCTACTGGTAAGCGTTAGACACACACACACACACACACACACACACGAGACTGCGGCCAGGAATCCATGTAAATGTTAGGTCATGTTATGAATGCGAACGAGGCAGTTTCCACATCATTAATCCGGTTTTTACATCCACGACCACCAACATTAAGGTGTGTGTGCGCGCGCGCATATCCATACATTATGACCTGTGTGCTTGCACTTTACATCGGTGTGTACATGTGCATACAGTATGAAAACGAACATCATCACTCCCTACACACACACACACACACAGACACAATCTTAGAGAACGTCACTGTGAACGAATACTAACGGCAATTCCCTAAAAGAACAGTAAAACGACTAAAAGAAATTCCACGCCCTAATAGATGAAAGATTATTCCATCAGAATTTCGAGAAAAAAGAAGCAGCAAAAATTCCCGTGATTGAAAAGCGTTGTTTCATTAATAACTTTTATAAACTGGGGAACAGGAGAGTAGGATGAGTTTTAGGGCTGCCTACTGTTGATTAATATTGTTGTGGTGGGATGGATAGGTGGGTAGATAGGTAGGTAGGTAGGTAAATAGATGGATAAGTAAGTAAGGTAAACAGGTTGATGGGTAGGTGGGTAGGAAGGTCGGTGGGTAGGCAAGTAGGTAACTTAGGTACGTAGGTAGACAGGAATTAAATGGTATATACAGATAGATCAGTTGGTTGGCTTGGTGGTGGTACTACTACTGCCGTTACTGCTGTTGCTACTGTTGGTGTTGGTACTACTGCCGTTACTGCTGTTGCCACTCCTACTGTTGTTGCTGGTATTACTGCCGTTACTGCTGTTGCCACTGCTACTGTTGTTGCTGGTATTACTGCCGTTACTGCTGTTGCTACTGTTGATGCTGGTATTACTGCCGTTACTGCTGTTGCTGCTGGTACTACTGCCGTTACTGCTGTTGCTGCTGGTACTACTGCCGTTACTGCTGTTGCTGCTGGTACTACTGCTGTTATTTCTGTTGCTATTGTTGGTGCTGGTACTGCTGCCATTACTGCTGCTGGTACTGTTGCTGCTGGTACTACGGCCGTTACTGCTGTTGCTACTGGTAGTACAGTCGTTACCGATGTTGCTACTGCTATTGTTGTTGCTTTTACTACTGCCGTTACTGCTACTGGTGTTTGGAGAGATAGCTCGCTGTCATTAAACTGTTATTTTTTCGTCGGGGGAGGATGGGCAAAGAGGAGGAGGTAGAGAAGGAAAATAAGACAGGAAGAGAGAAGAAGAAAGGAGGAGTAGAGAAGGAAAAGAGGAGGGACAAAGAGAAACCAGAAAGGAGATATAGATAAAAGTTAGGAGAGAGAGAGAGACCGACCGACCGACCGACCGGTACTCCTTTACAGGTAGTGCCGTTCAGTGATGACACATGAAGTGTTTGTGTAAAAGATTGAACAATTGACAGACAGAGAGGTTTCAGATGAGCTGTTTGCCCTGACCTCTTTTATAACACGGTGTTCTTTACATACACTGCCATACCTTGATGATAGTCTGGTCCGGAAACTGACAGAGACTTTATTACGATAAGGTGTGAGAAATAGATTGGTTTGGGTCTAATTTTTGCTATTTTATCTATTTATTTTGTATCTGTTTTTCAACCATTTCAAAGAAGCTTATTACGTTTGTCATTTGCTTTAGTGTACTGTATTGAATAGAACTTTAAATGTATGTGTAAATATACAGTAGTTGTTCCAGTGGTTCATTTGTTACAGGAAGTAAATAAATTAATGTGAGAGAGAGAGAGAGATCGTACACAATAAAACAGACCTTCATTTCATGTGACTCCATTTCGCCTTTTTCTCCCCCTCCCTCAGCTGTCTCTCCCCCAAGCTTGTCCTAAACCCTTCAGCAGGACCGGTAACCCCTGACAGGTGGGTCACACATCCACCTGGCTCTCTCATGTACAGCTTAACCTAACCTAACCTTGAGGTTTGATTAGGTTAGGGCTGGTTTGGTTTGGTTTGGTTAGGTTAGTTCAGTTCAGGTAAGATTACCGTTAAGGTTAGAGCTAAGGTTAGTTCAGGATAGGTTAGATTAGGCTAGTTCAGGTAGGTTAAGATTAAGTTAAGTTAGGTTAATAAAATTATATAATCTGTGGGCCTAATCTTCAGGTGATCCCGATTTTGTTGACCAAGATAATTTAATATCAATAATAACAACAACAAGCACCTTAAGAACTTCTGTGTATAATATAAACCTTTAAAGTCCTGAACATTATTTTGATTTAGAGAGAAACTTGGTGAGAGGTGGAAATCGTACGGAATATCTGTTACCACTTTCTCCAATATTACTTACCATAATAAACCCGTGGCAATATTTCCCATGAACTTTATATTTATCTTAAAGTATTTAGTCTCATAGATTTCTACTTTATGGCTAAAAACTACGCGTCAAGACTTACTTTGGTCAATACTTTGGAGGCTCATTAGGGAGGTGGTGTGCAACACTCCCCTCTCCCTGCTCCCTCACTGTCCCCCCCACCCTGTCCCCCCACCACACTGTCCCCCCACCACTGTCCCCCCCACCACACTGTCCCCCCACCACTGTCCCCCTCCTACACTGTCCCCTCACCCTGTCCCCTCCACCACCACTGTCCCCCCCCACCACACTGTCCCCTCCACCACACTGTCCCCCTCCACCACACCTCCCCCACCACTGTCCCCCCCACCACCTGTCCCCACCCTGTCCCCCTGTCCCCCCCCCACACACTGTCCCCACCCCACCTGTCCCCCCACCCACCACATCCCCCCCACCCACCACACTGTCCCACCAGTGTTGGCTACAGGCAGAGTGGAGTCAAGCTTTCCGTAAAATTAGATTTTTTGGGGTGAGATGAAGTCCCTTATGTTAATTCAATACTTCAGAGAAAAAACTTTTAATGTTTGTAAATTTTTAAGTGATTGGGGTTAGGTTAGGTTAGGTTAGGTTAGGTTATTTTAATCAAGAGAAGAACTATGTTAAGGGACAGTTTAGGATAAGTTAAAAGATAGATTATATTTATTTTAATAGATATTTAGGATAGTTTAGATTAGAGGCGAGGGATGGTACAGGATACATAGGCTAGAGGAGGGTTGTAGTGAAAGATAGGTTAGGATAAGATAGGCCAGATAATGATGGTGAAGGGGTAAGTTAGGATATATGAGAGTGATGGTGAAGAATAAAGATACGTTAGGATAAATACAAATGATGGTGAAAGATATATTGGGATTAGATAGAATAAAAAAATAATGGTAAAGAATATGTTAGGTTAGTCGAGAATCATGCGAAAGGATATTAACTATGATATGTAAGGATAGTCGAGAGTAAAAATCCCATAAGCTTACAGGCAAAGGGAGAGCGTCCACAGCTATTCCACGAACCAGTTGTTTTAGAATTCGCTTTTATGCTAATACCCCTGGAAGCCCTGCACTCGAATTTTGCGTAGGCGCCTTTTATTTCTGGGTACGCCGGGATGGTTGCCGTGCGTATGATAAGACTGGGAATACTGTATGGATGAAGAGACATAGTGAGGAGGAGGAGGTTTTGAGAGGTCTTAGGTGGTCTTGAGAGGTCTTAGGTGGTCTTGAGAGGTCTTAGAAGGTCTTGAGAGGTCTTAAGGAGGAATTGCGGAGGTATTGAGAGACGTTGGGGCGTCTTAGGAGATTTGGAGAGGCCTTAGGAGGTGTTGGGATGTCTTAGAAGGTTTTGGGAGGTCGTAGGGTATCTTGGGAAGTCTTATGAGATCTTAGGAGGTTTGGAGAGGTTTGGGGTGGTCTTAGGCGGTCTTAGAAGGTCTTGGGAAGTGTTAGGAGGACTTGGGAAGATATAGGAGGTTTTGAGAGGTCTTAGGAGAACTTGGGAGGTTTTAGGATGCCTTACGTGGTCATGTGAGGTCGTGTGAGGCTTTACAGAGGTCTTGGGAGGTCTTAAGAGGAAAATATGACCATCAGTGCCTCCCGCCATCTCACCTGACACCAAATTAAAGAAATTATACGATATTGAAACTGTAATAGAAGGAAAAAATAAACGAGTAAATCAGTAAAAGCAAGAATAAATTTGCCGTAACAACAATGAAAACGATAAACGAAATAAACTATAATGTATTAATTAACGCAAATCTAACAGAAGCAGGGCGAAATAAATCAAATAGAGTAAACAAATAAACCGGTTAATAAATCCGCAGCAACAACAGGAAAAAGTCGAACCAAATAAACTGGGAAAATATTGATAAACATAAATCAACTGAGGAAAAATATGTAGATAAAAAAAATCTATCAACAAGTTTCGTAAAAAAAAAAATACCTGACGCGAGGAAACATAAACTACTGGTGATAAATTCGTGTGAAGAGTAAACGGATAAATGATACAGGACCCGATGAATGAAGACAAACTAAACAAAGATGATAATTGTATGTGAAACGGGAACAGATGAAAAATGATAAAGATTTGTGCTTGACCCATAATAAGTATTTTTTGTGAGTGGTGTGGTGAGTGGTGTGGTGAGTGGTTTGCCTAGTGGAGTGGTGTGATGAGGGGTGTGGCTAGGGGCATGGTGTGAGGGGTATGGTTAATGCTGTGACGAGGGGTGTGGTGTGATGAAGGGTGTGGTGAGTGGTTTGCTTGGTGGTGTGATGAAGGGTGTGGCTCGGGGCATGGTGTGAGGGGTATGGTGAGTGCTGTGATAATGGGTTTAGTGTGATGAATGGTGTGGCTCGGGGCATGGTGTGAGGGGTATGGTGAGTGCTGTGATAATGGGTGTAGTGTGGTGAAGGTTGTGATGAGGGGTGGTGAGTGGTGAACACACAGGTACGCCCACCCTATGCATACCTCCTGCTCCCCTGATGCTCACATGAATACTAAACACCAGCTGTGTGTGTGTGTGTGTGTGTGTGTGCTCGTGTGCTCGTGTGTGTTTTCCGAGGTTTCTTGTTTTTGGTTCTTTTTTCTATTTTTTTTCTTTGTGTGTGCAGGAAAATTTTTCTCACCTCTACGTTTTCTTTTCGCTTTTCCTACTTTTTTGTGTTTTATTTCGCGTTTTGTTGTGTTCCAACCTTTCCACAGCCGCCAAAAGAACTGCGAGGGATTTGGAATATATTTTGCATATGTTCTTTCCGGTGTGTCTGTCTCTGTCTGTCTCTCAAATAAATCGAGCCTTTGTGTCACTCTTCCCACCAAATATATACAGGGTGTGGCAAAACTCCACACACACTCATATATCGACGAGATTTTTATATAATCCAGCAGTATAATGCTTGACGTCACATGAGAGGCTGGGCTTACTGACTCCACTGATGGATGAGTTTTGGACGTTGTTTTAATCGAGAGAAAAGTTAAAGTTAACATAGAAAATGATATTAAAATGTATAATATAGGTTAATGGGTTTGTTTTAAAAGATTCTTCAGCCCTAACTCAGTTATTGTTCTATCTGTTTTTCCGTTTTCTGTTATTGTTTAATTTTTATTCTTGTTTCTCAGCAACCACTATCAATTGAAGATCCTCTCTGATAGATTAGTTAGTTTCAGCCGTCGTAAACTCCTTCAGCTTTGTTATTGGTCATTTTCCTCGAGTTGTTATCCTTTTCTCCTCTCCCTTTTTATCCCCTTTGTCTTCTCTCATCTTATTATTTATATATACTCTCACTCTCCCTTCTACATATCCTGACTCATCCTCCTTCACCTCCTTTTCCAGTTTCCCTCCTCCGACTTTTCTCCATCACCGTCTCCTCATATTCGCAGGAAGTTTGCTCACTTGGGTATTGGGAAGTTGCTTGTACCATGCGCCGCCGCCTCCCTCACCTCCACTCATCGGGTCATGCACTGCAGAAGGGGAATATTTATGCCCAGTCCTGACGATGTATGTCTTGGTTACTGCGGTTCACGGATCTTATTATTATTATTATTATTATTATTATTATTATTATTATTATTATTATTATTATTATTATTATTATTATTATTATTATTATTATTATTATTATTCGTCACTCCTAAAATGTTATCAGAATAGCTACAGCGATCCACACTAACAATGACCTTATGATTTGAGTATGTATGAATCTGATTTAATTTGTTTGATTTGATATGAATTTATTATGTGGATTTTGAGTTAATACGTCAACTTGTTCTCCAAATGGA